GCAGCTGCCTAGTATTGCCTAATGGTAAATCCCCCCTGACTTAAACCTAACCGACCGTTAGGAAGGAGTCCCTCTGGGCTGGGATGTAGTCCAGATTACAGGTGCTTTAATCCACCAGATTAGGTTCCACATTCTATCTAATGAGAAAATAAATGAGCAAGAATTAAAATGCTGTCAGATTCTGAAGGAAGATTTTTCAAACATTTCCATGTTTCATATATTTATTAATTCATCGGCTTCAATGTTCTTTAAAAGCAAAAACTTCTGTTATTCATCTGTTAATAACATTTAAATAAATGTATCTCTAATGGTTGAAGAAGGAATGGATGGATATTTGCTGACATCTACAGACAAAATATATATTTAATCATTTGTTTACATCAGTAGAGAAGATTTGGTGATTATTTGATATCATAAAATTTAATTAATTACCAGCCTGTTTATTTTTAGTGTTAGAAAGGATTTCAATTTTGGGACAAAGAAAAACCAGTTAGATGAATAAAATATGAGAAAACTCCATTATTTGTTGAAAACAGAAATAGATTTATTACGCATAGATTGGCTGATGTCTCACAGCTTTTAATTCTGCTGTCTTCGTTGAATGAAAACATGACAAACTCTCTGTTTCTCTTCTGTTCCAGCTTTCGAAGAGCAACTGCCAGTACCATAAAATATTTAAGGAGATCAGCAAAGAGGAGCAGCTGAGACAGAGTGAGTCTGCCATGATCTCATCCATCTGCTCCGCCTTAAATACTGAGAGGAGGTTTCATTAAGAGCGTCCGATGTTTGCTAACTAACGTCAGGATGACGGGAGCTGACTGAGTTCTGTTAAAATGGGACACAGTTTTTATTCTGCTTTAAACAATGAAGGATTCTCTGGTTACCTGTCTGTCAGGTTACACCTGCGCCCTGCAGAAAGACATCCTCTACCAGGGGAGGATGTTCGTCTCTGATCACTGGATCTGCTTCCACTCCAAGGTTTTTGGCAAAGACACCAAGGTACAGCACTGAGGCAGCCTTTTATAACCGCAGGGCTTTGATGGATGGGGGGAAACACATTTAAAATAAAACCTCCTGCATCCCCTGAAATGGTCTTTCTGCAGAGACAGTCCCACTGCTGCTGCTTCTAATTATATCAGCTTTTTACTTTCTCTTAGGTGCTCTATTAACCTGATTAAAAACTCAGTCTAAATTAAAGCTAA